CTATTTATCTTTGACCTCTGTCCTTGGATTCTAAGTCTCTTATGATTAGGAACTTTGCTTTATGTTTTTCAACGGTCGTGGATTGAACGTTTTGCCCCAAAATATGTATCAACTTGGCTACACATTGATTTCCGGTATTGTGTGGTTGTTCTCAATTTTGTGATCTGATGTAATTATTCTCCATTTTATGTGTTGTAAATCTTAATCTCTACATGTTAATGAGGTGGGATCCAAGTGAGATGTATTTGAAGTCACAGCCTTACAAGAAGATGTGACTGAAGTCACACTCTTACTCAAGTCCCACCTTTACTCTAGTCACCACTCTTACTTAAGTCACACCCTTACCCAAGTCATCACCCTTACTCAAGTAATGCCCTTGCTTGAGTCACACCTTTTATCTTATAAGAGATAAAAGGAGAGAGAAGTGAGCAGAGAGGAGAGACACCTGACTAACACCAAGTAATAAGAGCCAGGAGTTGAGTGTGTCCTTTGTACCTCAGGTCTCTGCACTGAAAACCTCCTAGACCCAGGGGAAGATTGATACCAAGACATGTGGAGATCTCCAAGGAATTCCAGGATCATAGATGTTGAAAGAAAACAAAGACCTTCTCCCAGAGCTGATACAGAGAGAAAGCTTTCCCTTAGAGCCAGTGCTCTGAATGGAGAATTATAGCCTCCTAAACTGTGAGAGAATAAATTTGTTTGTTAAAGTCATCCCCTTCTGGTATTTTTGTTATAGCAGCACTAGATAACTAAGATATTAACCTATTACAATACTCTACTCAGAGCTGACACTATTATAAATGTAGTTGTAGATAGTTTTCTTGAATCCATGACAATTATGTTTTAGTCAGAACTACTTCAAATTATGTAACTCCAAAACTTTTTCAGAAATTGTGATAGACTGCTAGGGGAATAATTAATATACAGCAAACATTAAATTTCAGAGAATAAGTCTTTCTAAAAAGACAGAAAATTGGAGAGTAAACTTGATGAAAGAAAACAAACATTGAAATACCAGCTGACCAAATAAACTGTCACATTCATTTATTCAACTACCCATGAGTCTATCCTTTGAACTATTTAACTATACCTTGATCCATCCTATGATATTTATTGAGTGTCTTTCATCCACCAGGCCCACTGGTGAACACAAATAACTTCTATGTTGTTAAAGTATTTTTTGTGGGGTCCCTGGGAAGTTCTGGATGTCCAAGGCTGGGAAAAAAGCTACATTTTTCTTTTCTTTTTCATTTCAATTGCTCTTTTAATTTTCCACTATGCCATCTTGCCAACTCAAAACTTAGATCAGCTTTCACAGTCTTTAGGAGTGGAATTGGATGTTAAATTTGGAAATAAGTTTAACTTTGATTTCCTTCATACTTGGAATCTTATTTGGAATATGTATAGGGTGGCCTAAAATAAATTTCACTAAATTGATTGCTGATTCATAATCCATCCTGGTAGTAGCTAAAGCAAATGGAAGAAATGACAAGATAAAAGAGCTGAACAGAAGATTTCAAAGAGCAGCTTGAGCAGACAAAGCCAATTACAATAATGAAATGTGCAAAGACCTGGAGTTGTCAAACCAAAAGGGAAGAACACGCTCGGCGTTTCTCAAGCTGAAAGAACTGGGGAAAACATTTAAGCCTTGAGTTGCACTATTGATGGATTCTATGGGCAAAATATTGAATGATGCATCAAAAGAAGGTGGAAGGAACACACTCCCAAAAAGAACTGGTCGATCTCCATCCATTTCAGGAGATGGCATATGTTCAAGAACCAATGGTATTGAAGGAAGAAGTTGAAGCTGCACTGAAAGAAGTGGTGAAGAACAAGGCTCCAGGAACTGACAGAATACCCATTGAGATGTTTCAACAAATGGGTGCCCGACTGGAAGCCCTCACTTGGTTATGCCCAGAGATTTGGAAGACAGCTACCTGGTCAACTGACTAGAAGAGATCCATATTTGTAACCATTCCAAATAAAGGTGATCCCACAGAATGTGGAAATTATCAACAATATCATTAATATTGCATGCAAGTAAAAACTTACTGAAGATAATTAAAAAACGGTTGCAGCAGTATATTGACAGAGAACTTCCAGAAATGCAAGCTGGCTTCAGAAGAGGATGTGGAATGAGGGATATCATTGCTGATGTTAGATGGATCTTGGCTCAAGGCAAAGAACACCAGAAAGATGTTTGTGTTTTATTGACTATGCAAAAGCATTTGATTGTGTGGATCATAACAAATTGTGGATAACATTGAGAAGAATGGGAATTCCAGAACCTTAATTGTACTAATGAGGAACCTGTACATAGTCCAGGAGGCTGTCGTTTGAACAGAACAAGGGGACATTGCATGGTTTAAAATCAAGAAGGGAGTGCATCATGGTTATATCTTTTCACCATACTTATTCTAAACATTTTTTAGAAATTGTGATAGACTGCTAGGGAAATAATTAGCATACAGCAAACATTAAATTTCAGAGAATGATTCTTTCTAAAAAGACAGAGAAAACAACAACACTTAACAACAACAACAACAACAATTTATATGCTGAGCAAATAATCCGAGAAGCTGGGCTATATGAAGAAGAAGGATTGGTGGAAGAATCATTAACAACCTGTGATATGATGATGACACAACTTTGCTTGCTGAAAGTGAGGATGACTTGAAGTACTTACTGATGAAGATTGAAGAATACAGTCTGCAGTATGGATTACATCTCAATATAAAGAAAACAAAAATCCTTACAACTGGACCTATAAGCAGCATTATGATAAATGGAGAATACATTGAAATTGTGAAAGACTTCACATTGCTTAGTTTTACAATCAACGCCAGTGGAAGCAGCAGTCAGGACATCAGACAACGTATTGTTGTTGTTGTTATATGCTGTCGAGTCAGACCCGACTCATAGTGACCGCTCCTTGGGTTTCTGAGGCGGTATCAGTACAGAAGTAGATTGCCCAACCTTCTTTCCGAGGAGTGGCTGGTGGGTTTGAACCGTCAGCCTCCTGGTTAGCAGTCAAGTGCCTTAGGCACTATGCTACCAGAGCTCCTCAGACAACATATAGCAATGGGCAAATTGGCTACAAAGGACCTCTTTCAAGTGCTGAAGAGCAAAGATGTCTCCTTGAGGACTTAGGTGAGACTGACACAAACTATGGTATTTTCAATTGCCTCATATGCATGTGAGAGCTGGGCAATGAATAAGGAAGACTGAAGAAGAATTGATGCTTTTGAGTTGTGGTGCTGGTGAAGAATGTTCAAAGTACCGTGGACTGCTAAAAGAACTAACAGGTCTGTCCTGGAGGAAGTGCAGCTGTAATGCTCCTTGGAAGCGAGAATGGCCAGACTTTGTCTCACCTACTTTGGTCATGTTGTCAGAAGGGACCATTCCCTGGAGAAGGATGTCATGCTTGGGAAGGGGTTGTTCTTGTTGTTATGTGCCATCGAGTCAGACCCAACTCATAGCGACCCCTCCTTAGGTTCCCAAGGCAGTATCACTATGGAAGTAGATTGCCCCATCTTCCTTCTTAGGAGTGGCTGGTGGGTTTGAACTGCCAGCCTTCTGGTTAGCAGTGAAGTGCCTTAGGCACTATGCTACCAGAGCTCCCTGGTAAGGGGTAGGGTCGACGAAAGAGGGGAAGGCCCTCAAAGAGATGGATTGACATGGTGGCAGCGGTGATGGGCTCAAGTGTAGCAAGAATCATGGAACTGGCTCAGGACCGGGTGGTGTTTCATTCTGCTGTGCATAGGGTCGCTATGAATCAGAGACGACTCGAGTGCACCTAACAACAACAACAACAACAACAACAACAAACTATCCTGGGAATGCCCAGACTGTCCATAAACCAATTCTTAATCCCAGAGTCAGTCTCAAAGTACTTGGAACAGGGAGAAAGGAAGGTCAACCTTCACACTCTGGCATTTTGAAGTACCTGTTGACCAATAAAAGCAACAATCTATTACCATGTAATATTTAGTACCTTCATTTTCTTTTCACCACAAAACTTTATTGATATTCTCACTTGAGATGGCTCCCTGGTACCAGAGGAGATCTCATTGTAAAATTTTACAGAGTCAGTAGTAACAAGGGAAACTGATGGGAGATGGGATGAGAATAGGCATTTATGGCCTTTGTCAAATTGATTGAAGTGCCAGTATAATTGTTTTAACTGAGGGAAAAGAAATAATACATTTCAAAATCTTTGTATTTTCTTTCTTAGTTGGATCTTCTCTTTGTAAGCTGAGGTACATTTCTGTGAATTCTCTTTTCTGTATGTTTCCAGTTAAGGTGGGCTTCAAGAGATATCCTGTATTTTTCACAAATAATGTGCACATGCATGTATGTGCGGAAGGTGCACAGGAAATTAATGTATGAGGGAGTTGCATGGTTTGCAAAAGCCATATAACACACATGTTATCTGTGTAAAAAGAATACTTGTGAAAGATTTGGAAGGCAGAAGGGAAGCAGCGGCCATTTTTGTAGTTCACACATGTTGCATTTATCTTCTGGCTTATCTCACTGGAGGAAGGTAGTGGATGGACATGCAATTGCCTCACTTTCTTTGGGATCTTCCTTTAGCTTCTCTAACTCCTGGGCTCATTGTGTGTATTTAGCTCCTTGGCCATCTAGGTTGGAGGCACTGAGAATTTACTTAAGTTTCAGTCTGTCTTTGTGGGCTCTAGCTCTTGCTAGAGGGTTCCAGTTTATTTTTGCTTTGTCCCACTTAGCATCCACCTTCCCTCCCTCACTGCCCATTCTTAGATTTCAAGCTACAACATCAGATGCAAGGACAACAGCTTTGCAGATACTGCAGAACAAGTTTCCATGGTTACATAAAATCAGATTTCTAACCAATTCCTTAGTATCTTATTGCTTAGAGATTTTGTTTCTCTAATGGAACACTGCCTGATATAGTCAGTAATTCCAGTTTCTTATTTCTCCTGTTCTTTCAGGCAAATTTGGAGTCCAAAGTGATCGAGACCATGAGGGGAGGAAATCACTCAGTGGTGTCTGAGTTTGTGTTGGTGGGACTCACTAGTTCTTTGGAGATGCAACTTGTCCTCTTTCTAGTTTTCTCTGTGTTCTATATAGCAGGTATTTTGGGAAACCTTCTCATTGTGCTCACAGTGATCTCTGACTCCCATTTGCACTCCCCCATGTACTTCCTGTTGGCCAACCTTTCCTTTATTGACATGTGGGTTTCCTCCAGTGCAGCTCCAAAGATGATGTCTGATCTTTTCAAGGAGGGAAAAGTCATCTCTTTCCGAGGCTGCATTACTCAGATGTTCTTCATTCATATTACTGGAGGAACTGAGATGGTGCTGCTCATAGTCATGGCCCTTGACCGATATGTTGCCATATGTAGGCCTCTCCACTACTTGACCATCATGAACTTCAGAACTTGTATTTCACTCTTGGTGGCTGCCTGGACAATTGGAATCATTCATTCCTTGATTCAACTAGTGTTTGTTGTAAATCTACCATTCTGTGGCCCCAACGAAGTGGACAGCTTTTACTGTGATCTTCCTCGATTCATTAGGCTTGCCTGCACAGACACCTACAGACTGGAGCTCATGGTGACTGCCAACAGTGGGCTCATCTCACTGGGAACTTTTTTCATTTTGATTATCTCCTACATCTTCATCTTGCTCACTGTTTGGCAACATTCTTCCAGTGGCTTGTCTAAGGCCCTCTCTACACTGTCAGCTCATGTCACAGTGGTGGTCTTATTTTTCGGCCCATGCATCTTTGTGTATTTGTGGCCTTTTCCCACAGTGCCAGTGGATAAATTCCTTGCCATTTTTTATGTAATTATCACTCCATTTCTGAACCCTGCCATCTATACGCTTAGAAACAAAGAGATGAAGGTAGCAATGAGGAGACTATTAAGCGAAATCTTGAGTTTTAGGAAGCTGTTTTAAGTGATATTGATATCAAAAAGAAAAGCCTCTGTAACATTTCCTGCCCGTGCAACCGACTTGTATTAATATGTAGCAGTTTCCACCTTTCACTTGTCCCGTCTTGATAAAGAGCATTCTGCATTGGCCTGCTATATCTCTTTTCCTTTTACATTCTCAGGAGTTTTCTTCCTTGTCAGATTGATTGTTTGTGTTTATTTATTTTAAAAATTTTATTGTGATTTGGAAGAAATTTTAAAGAGCAAATTCATTTTCTATATAGCAATTCATATATGTTTTGTTTCACAATATTGATTTCAATTCACCACAATGTAACAGGTCTTTTCCCACTTCCTCCCTGTAATTACCTCTTCCCTGTGTCCTTTTTTCCTGTGCATTCCTGCTCCCAAGCTCTCTCCCTGTGCAAATACTGCCCTTCTGTTCTGCCATGATTGATTGTTCTAAGGACTATATCTACCAAAAAATACCTAAACTCACTGCCTTTGAGTAGATTTACCTAATGTAAATGTTCACCCTATATACCTGTCTATTGTTTGGTTGGAAGCCAAGGGAGTGAGTTCATTTCCAGACCTGAAGGGTAACTAGGGGCTGTAGTCTCCGGGGTCTCACTAGGCTCTATCAGGCCAGTATGATTGTTTGGGTTTTGTAATGCAAAATCTGAGGATAGATGCTTTGGCATTATTTGAAACTACTAGAGATAGATAATTTGGTGGGGAGGAGACTGGGCTGAGACATGTGAAAAGGAAAGAAAGAAAGAAAAAAAAAGGGATTTTAAAGACGTTGTTTACATTTTGTTCTTCAGTATATATTGCTCTTCAATTTAGAAAAATAAAGAGCTAAAGTTATTTTGGAATTATGTTTGATGGCTAGCAGAATTTTTCTGATAATGATTGTAAAATTGGATCATTGGGTTATGGCTTCATAATCATATTAGGTAGTGTGTATTTTAATAATGTATTAAACTATATAATTATTCCAGTTTTTTCCAAAAGCTGTTTCTGTACTGCTGGAGGATTTGAACAATTGAGGGCTGAGTAAGGGGCATTAATAAACCATTTGATAATTCTGTTCCATCTGGTGCCAATCCTTGTCCTAACTATATTGAAATCAGCAATGTTTCCTCAGAGTTAGGTAAATTCTTCTATTACAGACAGTTAAAAGCACTTGAGCCAGACTATTTGAATTCAAGTCTCAGTTTTGCTTCTTACTAACTCTCAAATTGCTTAACTTCATGTGTTTAAGTTCCATTGTGTGTAAAATGGGGACAATAGGTTGAAACGTCTGACATTCTTGGCATTTGACTCTTTGCCTTCATAAGTTCATAAGGATCAAGTGAATGATATTTGTAAGATGCTTTAATCAATTCTTGGTGTGTAGTATTATATAAGTGCCTGTTAAACAAAATGAAATAAAGCATTAAACCACTTCTCAGTTTGATAACCATTTCCCATGATGTCTACAGGTTTTTCCTTTCCTTTCTAACTCCATTCATCATTGATCTAGCACTTGCTATTTTCCTGGTAGTACTACAGTAGTCAACAATTTTAAATAATTAAATTCCTTAAATATAGAGACATCAATGTGCCACAGTTCAATTTACTTTCTATGTTTGTTTGTATTGTCTTTATCATATTTCATTTGTCTTCTTATATCAGTTCTATGAAGCTTGTTTTGGTACTTGATAGTGTTTTTCAGTATGGTGGAAGATATTACTAAGCTGTTGTTATTAGATACTGTTGAATCAGTTCTGACTCATAGTGACATCATGTACAACAGAATGAAACATTGTCTAGTCCTGTGCCATCCTCACAATAGTTGCCATGTTTCAGCCGATTATTGTAGTCACTGTGTCAATCCATCTCACTGAGGATCTTCTTTTTTTGTTGATCCTCTACTTTACCAAGCATCTTGTCTTTTTCTAGAGACTGGCCCCTCCTGCCAACATATCTGAAGTATGTGAGATGAAGTCTTGTCCAGCTCCCTGCTGAGGTGACTTCTGGCTATACTTCCAAGACAGCTTTGTTTGTTCTTTTGGCAGTTCATGCTACATTCAATATTCTTCATCAACTCTAAAATGCAAAGGCATCAATTCTTCAGTCTTCCCTGTTCATTGTCCAGCTTTCACATGCATATAAGACGTTTGAAAAACCGTTTGGTTCAAGCGTACCTTAGTCCTCTAAGTGACAACTTTCCTTTTTAACACTTTAAAGAAGTCTTTTCAACCAGATTTGCCAAATGCAATATGTATGATTCCTTGACTGCTGTTTTTGTAGGTGTTAATTGTGGATCCAAGTAAAATGCAGTCCTTGACAACTTCAATCTTTTCTCCTTTATCATGATATTGCCTATTGGTCCGGTTATCATGAGTTTTCTTTTCTTTATGTTGCAGTGTAGTCCATACTGAGGCTGTAGTCTATGATCTTCATCAATAAGTGTTTCAAATCCTCTTCACTTTCAGCACGCAAGGTTTTGTCATCTGCATATCACAGGTTGTTAATGAGTCTTTTTCCACTCACTATGCTGTGATCTTCTTCTTCTAATCGAGATTCTCAGATTATTTGCTCAGTACACAGACTGAATAAGTGTGTTGAAAGAATACAACATTGACACACACCTTTCCTGATTTTAAACTCTGCAGTATCCTCTTGTCATATTCGAACAACTGCCTCTTGTTCCATGTGCAGTTTCCCATGAACACAATTAAGTGATCTGGAATTCCCAATCTTTGCAATGTTATCCATAATTTGTTATGTTATACACAGCCTAATACATTTACACTGGTAAACATCTTTCTGGTATCCTTTGCTTTTAGCCAACATCCATCTGACTCAACAATGATATCCCTCATTCCATTTCCTCTTCTGAATCTGGCTTAAAAACCAAGTTGGGAGCTTACAAAATTAAATTTATAATAATTCAATTGGAAAAAAAGTATTTAACATTCAGTATATTCTCACTGTTGTGCCAGTAACTGTGGAAAACTGTTAGAAGTACACAATCTGATTGTAGAAAGGGACCATTAATCCTCAAGGTGAATAATTGCTGCCATTAATAACAGGGGTCTTAAAGTGGGCAGATTCAATAGAAGTGTGTAAGCACAGGGGATTTGTATATGTTACTGAATGAGGCTGGAGCCCACTCTGCCCAGTCTTCTGAGGCAACTATGTGTCCTAGAAAGAGAGAGTTCATGGAGAGCACCAGAGGCTAAGAGAAGATTGACATCACACACCACAGCATGAATAGACAATGGACACCTATGCTATCTCATTGCCTAACTTGTTGTTATTACATGCCATTGAGTTAGTTCTGACTCGTAGAGACCCTGTGTACAATAAAGTGAAACACTGCCCAGTTCTGTACCAGCCTTACAATCCTTGCTATACTTGAGCCCATTGCTGCAGCCACTGTGTCAATCCATCTCATTGAGAGTCATCCTTTTTTCTCTGATTCTCTACTTTACCAAGCACCATCTCCTTCTCTAGTGAATGGTCCCTCTGACAACGTGACCAAAGTAGATGAGACAAAGTCTGGCCATTCTCGCTTCTAAGGAGCACTTCATCCAAAACAGATTTGTTCATTCTTCTGGCAGTCCATGGAACCTTCAGAATTCTTCACCAACACCACAACTTAAAAGCATCAACTCTTCTTTGGTCTTCCTTATTCATTGTCCAGCTCTCACATGCATATGAGGTGAATGAAAATACCATGGTTTGGGTTAGGTGTGCCTTAGTCTTCAAAGAGACATCTTTGCTCTTCAGCACTTTAAAGAGACCTTTTGCAGCAGATATGCCCAGTGCTATACGTCATCTGATTTCTTGACTGCTGCTTCCATTGGTGTTGAATGTGAAACCAAGTAATATGAACTCTTTGACAACTTCAATCTTTTCTCTGTCTATTATGATGCTGCCTATTGGTCGAGTTGTGAGGATTTTCATTTTCTTTATGTTGTGGGGTCATCCATACTGCAGACTGTAGTCTTTAATCTTCATCAGTAAGTGCTTCAAGTCATCTTCACTTTCAGCAAGCAAGGTATGTCATCTGCATATTGGAGTCTTCCTCCAATCCTGATGATGCATTTTTCTTCATATAGTCTGGGTTCTTGGATTATTTGCTCAGCATACAGATTGAAAAATATAGTGAAAGGATACAACCCTGATGCACACCCTTCCTGATTTTAAAACATGCAGTATCCCCTTGTTCTGTTTGAATGACAGCCTCTTGGTTTATGTTCAGGTTCTTCATGAGCACAGTGAAGTGTTCTGGAATTCCCATTCTTCTCAGTGTTGTCCATACTTTGTTTTGATCCACACAGTCAAATGCTTTTGCATAACACAAATAAACATCTTTCTGGTATTCTTTACTTTCAGCCAAGATCCACCTGACATCAGCAATGATATACCTCATTCCACATCCTCTTCTGAATCCAGCTTGCATTTCTGGAAGTTCCTGTCATTACACTGCTGCAACCACTTTTGAATTATCTTCAGCAAGATTTTACTTGCATGTGGTATTAATGATATTGTTTGATAATTTCCACATTCTATAGGATCACCTTTTTTTGGAATGGATACAAATGTGGATCTTTTCCAGTCAGTTGGCCAGGTAGCTGTCTTCCAATTTCTTGGTGTAGACGAGTAAGTGCTTCCAGCTCGGCATCCATTTGTTGAAACATCTAAATGGCAATTCCATCAGTTCCTGGAGACTTTTTTCCCACTTCCTTCACTGAAGCTTTGACTTCTTCCTTCAGTATCATTGGTTCTTGATCATATGCCACCTCCTGAAATAGATAAACATTGACAAATTCTTTTTGGTACATCTGTGTATTCCTTCCATCTTCTTTCAGCGTTTCCTGCATAATTCAATATTTTGCCCATGAATCTTTCAATATTGCAGCCTGAGTCTTGAGTTTTTTCTTCTGTTCTTTCAGCTTGAGAAATGCTCAGTATTTTGGAGCTCTGGTGGCATTGTGCCTAAGGCATTTGACTGCTAACCAGAAGGCTAGT